CAGGAAGTCCCCTCAGGAGGGAAGGCCTGCCTGTTGTTTTGACTGCACTCCCTGCCCAGAGGACGAGATTTCCAACCAGACAGGTGAGTGCATGCTTAGGAGAAATTCCTGGGATCTCCTATATCCCCCACCCCATGAAAGGAACTAAAAATGATCTGGGAGTTAACAGCAGAGATAGAATTATGTCTTTCTTAAGTTTATAACTCAATGTTATAATCATTAATAATGCCCTTTGCAATAACACTCTTAGTGCCTTGAAGCACATTCTTTTTTTTTAACAAGATTTTTTTAATATTTATTCTTTTTTTTAGAGAGAGAGAGACAGAGAATTTTTAATATTTATTTTAGTTTTCGGCGGACACAACATCTTTGTTTGTATGTGGTGCTAAGGATCGAACCTGGGCCGCACACATGCCAGGCGAGCGCGCTATTGCTTGAGCCACATCCCCAGCCCTTAATATTTATTCTTAACCCCAGCCCTTGAAGCACACTCTTTGATTCCTTATTCTAGGTCCATGCAGACAGTACTTCCTCAGGAAGTCCCTTTGAGAGCCTAAAAGGAACCTCAGTTTCCCCTCCTTCAGGATATTTACCAAAATATATTTTATGTGTATACTTTTCATCTTCCTTTAAACTACATCCATAGCACACTGAAGGCATAGATCTTCCCTTCCCTAATTTGCCTATACCCAGTCCTATTCTTGATACAGAGCAGGTGCTCAGAAAGGTGCTTTTGACTGAAGAAATTGTATTTCTGCAGCATGTAACATGCTGTGGTATAGCATGCCCTCAACCAGCAGGTGTATTTCCTGTCCTCTAGCTCACAATAAGTAAGGAAGATGACATATAAAGATGAGGATCCAAGGTAATGCCATCAGTCTGCAATGCACACACACACAGAGATGCCCAGGATGGATTCAGGGGTGCCTTCTACATGTTGTAGGAAGGTGCAGTGGACTTCTTGAAAGTGGTGGTAGCATTAGTGTATCAAATGACCAAGTGATGGAGTTAATTATTAGAATTTTTAGAAATTGATAAATATGGGCAATTGACACTTCATGTACTGTTCAAAGAACCTAACCAAAAATGTTGAATGTGATTTGTAAACCAAAAAGGTGATGTGAAAAGGGCTGGAAGACCACTCTTGACGAATTTTGTGTACAATAACTATCATCTTGGAGTTACTCAGATTTGTGATATTAAATGTTGATATAATGAAGTCACCTCTAGAGTGAGGATTTTTTAAAATTTTCTTTTTGTGACTGTTATGTAGTTGAGCTTCACAACATACTAGTTTAATTTTAATTTATTTAAAATATACTGAATCTGAAAATATAGTCCAGCATATGGCCAATTTTAGTAAAGGTTCTATGTATGTGCATATTGGATATCTAATGGGTTCCTGGGTGTTCCATGTGCACATATAGAAAATACAGCTGCAGCTGGGTGCAGGGGCACATACCTATAATCCCAGTGTCTCAGGAGGCTGTGCAAGAGGACTGCAAGCTCGAGGCCAGCCACTAACTGGTGAGAACTTGTCTAAAAAAAACAACAAGAAAAAAAAAAAAACAACTCCCACCAACTGCAATTCCTACGCACTTGAAGATTTTAAAATATACTTCAAAGAAACCCCCATGGGTTATAGAAAATCTCATGACAGAAATACAATTTGTTTCAAATTTAAAATGCTACCTATTATATCTGGTGGGGATCATCTAAAGTTATTCTTATAAAGAAATAGTCTACAGATATAGAGATGATAGGTAGATAATAGATATGATTTATTATGCACATTTAGATGAAAAAGAGTGACAGTTTTATATTGTAAAAGTACACTGCAAATTAAACACAAAGAGAACAGAAGAGAGGAAATTATAAATTTAAGAAATCTTAATAAAAGACAAATTTAAAGTTTATTTTAGTAAACAAAAACAACAACTTGACAAACCACTAGTGAGATAAAAGAGAAAAATGTTATAAGTAGTGATATTAAGACTGAAAATGGGTTATCTATACGAGCTACAAAATTTTTAACATGATGAAAATAAGTTCCAAATAAGTTCCTGTTAATATACCTGAAATATTAGATAAAATGCACAAATTCCCAGGTAAATAATAGTTATTAATATTTCCCAAAAAGAAATAAAAAATCTGAGTTGCCCATATTTATTAAAGAAATCAAAACCACAGTTTTAAAATTCCCACAAATTTTAGGGTTGACCTACAGATTTACCAGTGTATTTCATCAGACTTTCAAAAGGACATGATACCTATTTTGGCAGTCTCCTCAGCGAAATGCAAATCACAAATGTAATGAGATGCAATCGTGCCTCATTTAGAAGTGCTATTATCAAAAACAAAACAAATTTTAGTATATATGCTGCCAAAGCAAGGGGCAGAAAAGGAGAAAGACTGGGGAATAAATGGAGCAAACTATGTTACGTGCATGCACAAATATGTCACAATGAACCAGGTGTTACCTGTAATTATAATGCACTAACAAAAATTCATAAATGAAACCCAGTCATAACAAATGCTGGGGAGGCTGTAGAGGAACAGGAACTCAGCCTCATAAATAAGTACAGCCTCTGTGGAAAATAGTACAGAGGATCCTCAAAGAACTAAAAAATAGAACTACCAATTATCCAGAACTGAGAAAATAAAGTTAGTGTGTTTGAATGACAGCTGCACTCCTGAGTCTGGACTGTTTGCCATAGCTAAGGCCTGGCGCCAGCTCAGGTGCCCATCAGGATGAATGGACCCAGACTGTGGCACCCATACACAACAAGGCCATCACTCAGTCATGGAGAAAAGTGAGGCACTGCCATGTTCAGGGAAATGGATGGAACTGGAGGACATCAGCAAGCAAAATAAGTCAGACACAGAAAGACAAGTAGCATATGTTGACTCTTTTATGTGGAAACCAAAAGAAGAAGAGCTGTCCTAGAGGTGGACAGTGGTTGAGTACTGAAAAGGGTGCTGGAGTGGGGGCTGGAAGATGGGTGGGTGGACATAATCCACACACCCCTATGCTTGTGTGGAGACACCACAGTGAATCCCTTTAGTAAGTACAGTTAGTGTGTGTTAGCAAAATGGGCGTTAAAGAATAAGAAACATGGGAAAGTTCCATCTTCTCCTGCTAATAGCCTAACCCTGGCCCCCAAAATCAAGAGAAGAGAGGAATTTACAGGCCACTCTCCTTTTCAAACTAAATCCATATATTATAAATCCAGCTGTATTTTATAAAGATGCTGCATCATGACCCAACTGCTTTATACAAAGTAAATAAATACAGAGAAAGAGAGAAATAATAGTTTCAATAACTGCAAAGTATGATAAAATTCAACCCCTATTCATTGTATACAAATGACCACAGCTGTGGCCAGTGCAGTAGGGAGGGCCACTCCAACTCTGTCCGGGTTTTCCCAGAACACTAAAGCCAGCGCCGGGCGAGGCAAGGACTGGAGAGGACAGGATGCCCAGATCTACCCCTGCAGGGCTCCCCTTCCATGGGAAGTCCTTCCCAGTGAGCACGGCCAGGAAAAGCAGCCAGAAGGAACACCCCTGGAAAGGAAGGGACAGAATGGCCCTAGTCAGAGGATGTCCGCACATGCATGTAAAGTCCCCATGACTCAACAAAGGAGGAACTGACTTCAGGGTGGCTGAATACTAGGTTAACATACAAAACTTTAATTGCCACTTCCGAGTTACATGGTTTTTTGGAAAACATATTTAAGGAGATGATGTTTACAATACCTAAAAATTATGTAATCTCCAGAAATGAATTTAATGAAAAGATTTGAAAGACTTCAACTCACAGATTTATAGAGCCATCATTTAGAAAAGTAAAATAAGTCTGGAATAAGGAGGTGGGGGACAGCAAGGCATGTTCATGGAAAGACTCAAAACTGGAAAAGATGCTATCTAAATTGACATATGGATTCAGTACAATTACAGGGAAAATTCACAGCAGATCTGTGGTGGGAATTGCGACTTACGGGGTAGCAGGAGTTACTCCCTATGATGTTGAGGATGACTTGTCATCTCTGTAACCCTGTCACTTGGCCAACCATCTTGATGATGGCAGTTTCTCAATAAGTACTTGCCCCTTGAATACATTAACCAGGTCACAGTTTACAGAAGCATAATTTAGTAAGATAGACAAGTGTTTCGTGTCCTTCCAAAATTCCTATGTTGACACTCAGCCCTCAGGTTCATGGTATGAACATGAGGGATTTGGGGTGGTGATTAGATCATGAGATCTCTACCTTCATTAGTAGGATTGATGTCATTATTTTAAAAAGTAAGATTTAAGTGTCCTTCAAAGGATGAATACATAAAGAAAATGTGGTATATATATATTCAATGGAATATTACTCAGGTTTAAAGAAGAATGAAATTATGGCATTTGCCAGTAAATGGATGGAATTGCAGAATATCATGCTAAGTGAAATAAGCCAATCCCAAGAAACCAAAGACTGAATGTTTTCTCTAATATGCAGATACTAATTCACAATAAGGTAGGGGGCCCTAGAAAAGATTAACATTACCTTAGATTAAGTAGAGGGAAGTGAAGGGAGAGGAGGGGGAGGGAATATGGGGATAGGAAGGACAGTAGAATGAAAGAGACATTATTACTTTATGTATATATGTGACTGCATGACCAACATGATTCTGTAACATGTACACTCAGAAAAATGAGAAACTATATCCCATCAATGTATAATATATAATGTGTAAAATGCATTCTTCTGCCATGTATAACTAATAAAAAAACTAAAAACACATGTCTATATATAAAAAAAGAAGGTATGGAGGAGTTTGCTCCCACTATGATGGAGACAGCAGTAGTGCAGAGAGAGAGTCTTCACAAACAGTGAAAGACTACTCTTTCATCTTGACCTTCCTGGGTTCCCGACCTGTGAGTGATATATGTACACTTTTATGAATCATTCAGTTTAAGTGATTATATTTTTGAATCTGAATTCAGTAAGGAAGTATGTCTTCCACTGTTTGAAAGAAAAAAGATGGTCTTTGCATATGCAAGGTAAATGCAGGAATAAACAATATTTTAGTTTATTTAACAATGAAGAAGACAGCAGCACTGATTTGCAGTCATGTCCTACACAATACTCATTAACTCCCTGCCCACAGCAACAAGGACGACTTGACTAAGTTTATCCAATGCACTTCTTTAAGGGGCTTGTGAATACTGATAATTACTGAACCAGGACTGATGACACTCTGCATTTCTCACCAGACATGGACCAGTGTGTGAAGTGTCCAGCTCATCAGTATGCCAACACAGAGCGAACCACCTGTCTCCAAAAGGCTGTGACATTTCTGGCCTATGAAGACCCCTTGGGCATGGCTCTGGCCTGCACGGCTCTCTGCTTCTCTGCACTCACAGCTGCTGTCCTTGGGGTCTTTGTGAAGCACAGAGACACCCCCATAGTCAAGGCCAACAACAGGGCTCTCAGCTACATCCTGCTCATCTCCCTCACCTTCTGTTTGCTCTGCTCTCTGCTCTTCATTGGCCGTCCAAGCACAGCCACCTGCATCCTGCAGGAGACCACATTTGGACTGGTGTTCACTGTGGCAGTTTCCACAGTCTTGGCCAAAACTGTCACTGTGATTCTGGCCTTCAAGGTCACTGTCCCAGGGAGAAGGATGAGGCAGTGGCTGGTGTAAGGGGCACCTAACTTCATCATTCCCAGCTGCTCCCTCATCCAGCTGACTCTCTGTGGGGTCTGGCTGGGGACCTCTCCTCCCTTTGTGGACACAGACACACACTCTGAACATGGCCACATCATCATCACGTGCAACAAGGGCTCCGTCACTGCCTTCTACTGTGCCCTGGGATACCTGGGCTCCCTGGCCCTGGGGACCTTCACGGTGGCCTTCCTGGCCAGGAACCTGCCTGACACCTTCAATGAAGCCAAGTTCCTGACCTTCAGCATGCTGGTGTTCTGCAGTGTCTGGCTCACCTTCCTCCCTGTGTACCACAGCACCAAGGGCAAGGTCATGGTGGCCGTGGAGGTCTTCTCCATTCTGGCCTCCAGTGTAGGGCTCCTGGGCTGCATCTTTGCCCCCAAGTGCTACATAATTCTCATAAGACCAGACAAAAACTGTTTGAAAGATCTGAAGGACAGAAGAAGTTCTATGGGAAATAGGCATTCTGAAAGTTAGCTCAGATGTCTCTGTTACATTTTAACAGTTCTGGGAAAGCACAGAAAATCCAACCTGACTTTGCATTTCTGATCTTATAAAGTGTGTAGAGCCACTTCATTTTTTCATAAAAGTAACCACAAGCAGCCGTTTAGGTTCCCAAACAGATTATTATCTCAATATAGTGGCTATTCCTGAATAGGTTTACTTAGAATTATTTACTGTATTTAATTTATTTATTTGCCAACTGTAAAGATTAATACTTAGATAAAATGTGTAATATTTAATGCCAATTTTGTTTCCTTCTCACTTCTTCTGTCACATATGTGTGTATCAATGTAAGTTCTGTAAAATATTCACTACTTTTTCTGAGTGCATTTTTCTTTTACACCTATAGAATACATTATCCACAGCTTCTTTTTCTCACTTCTTTATGTTTTTATTCATGCACTAGAGTCACTCCTATGTTGGGGCTCATTTGGACATACTCATACATGGAAGGAATATAATTTGCTTCATTTCAGTCCCCAGTACCTCCTCTTTCCTTTCCCTCCTGTCTCCCCATTTCCCTTCCTCTATTCTACTGCTCTTCTTGCTTTATGTCTATAGATTTTTCTAATTAGTGCTTTATAGGTGTACATAAAGGTGGAACTCTGTGGAATATTCACGTATGTACGTAGCACGATGTGGTCCATTTCGCTCCACAGCCCTCCCCCTCCCCTTGCTCTGCTCCACTGACCTCTCTTCTCTTTTCATGAGACTCTCCCAACTCCTTTTCCCCTTAGGTTGACCTTCCTTCTGCACGTAAAGAAAACATTTGACCCTGCCTTTCTGGGTCTGGCTTATTTCATGAGGTGGGATGTTCTCCTGCTAGAGATGTCAGCGGCATCTGTCCCTCTCTTCTTTGAGCAGAAGTGTCTGCCTGGGCTTCTGCAGGCTTGGGTAGTGGCTCCAACTGGACTTCATAGTCCTAGAGCTGAGACTGCAACTCAGAGGCAGAGCACCTGCCCAGTAAACATACGCTGGATCCTTAGCACTGGAAACAAAAAAAAGAGAAAGAGAAAACAACTCGTTTTAGTGAAAAAAAAAACCCCATAAATTTTAAAATAGAAATAGGAAATGAAGGAGATGATCATGTTAAATGAAATATACCAGACTCGGAAGCACAAGTGTCACATGTTTTCAGTCATATGAGGAAGTGGAGGAAGGGGAATGAAGAGGACATGAGCATGTGGAAGGGACACTGTTAGTGCAGAGGGAGGCGATCCCAGGAGGGTGCGTCAAGGGAGATTCTCCAGGGACGACAGCTGACAACCACCTACTACTTATTTTATGGAGAAATGGACAGGAGGAGTACAAATGCTCCAAACATGAGGAAACGATGAGAAGGTAGCAATGCTAAGTACTCTAAGTTGGCCATTACCCATCGTGCACACAAATGGAATTATTACTACACCCCACAATATATACAGTCATTACATTTCAGTTGGAAAGAAGAAAAATTCAAATAACTAAAATTGCATAAAGTAATCAAAATCTTTTCATAAAACTCAAGATCAACCATCAGACTTCTTCCAAGTAATTATTAAAATGAAAAACAATAATAGAAAGAGAGAACCTACAGAATGACAAAAAACTCAGAAATGTCACCCCAATGCAATATGTTCACTGTATTTGGGTCCTAACACAAGCAAAACTAAGTGAGGAAATATAAGAAATTTGTTAAAATTAGTATAAGAAATGACTTTGTGATGGTATTATGGATTCACTGAGTTTTTATGTGCCATAGTGTTTTGTGATTATATGAGGAAAAAGTTTGGGTAAAAACTCAGTGATATTTATACAAAGTAGGGTACTTAGAAGTGAGATATTAGAAAAAAAGGATGATTCTGCAAGTCCCAGGTTAAGAATCAGGAAAAGGCAATACAGTTCTCGTTAAGGCATAAGGTTCATGTGAAAGGAGAGACCCTCACCCAGGGCCAGGTGTGGAAGAGGCTTTAATGCCAACCTAAGAGTGGGTGCCCGGGCTTCAGCTGGATGGGAGTTGTATGTGAATATCAAAGATGATGTTGCACATGACAACTGCATGCAAAATGCAAATGTAAAACCAGACAAGTGGGATAATATCAAACTAACAGGCTTCTGCACATCAAAGGAAGCAATTAGCAGAGAGAAGAGGCAACCTGCAGAAGGGAAGTAAATATTTACCAAGTGTTTGTCTGACAAAGAACTAACAACAGAGATCCACAGGAATAAAATAACAGAACAGCCAACAATCTAATCATCTGACTAAAATGGGTAAATGATCTGCAGAGACATTTCTCAAAAGATGATACACAGAGGGTCAAAGGAAATGATCTGCAGAGACATTTCTCAAAAGATGATACACAGAGGGTCAAAGGACATGACACCAGAATGTCAAAGAGACACCTGTACTCCAATGTTGATTGGAAGCTGTCCACCACAGTCAAGATATAGAATCAAGCAAGGGATCCGGGGACAGACAAATGGATAAGAAAATGTGGTATATACACACAGAAAAGTATTATTTATCCAAAAAAAAAAAAAAGAATAAAAGTGAGTCATTTGTGGTACCATGGATGGCACTGGGAACATTTTTTTTTCAGTGAAATAAGCCAGGAACAGAAAGGTGAACATCATATATTCATAGGTGGGAGCTAATAATGTTGATTTCTTAGAAGTAGAGAGTGAAATGGTGGTCACTAGAGGTCTCCCAATAGTGGGAAGAAGGGGAAGAGGACGGTAGGTGATGAGTACCCAAATCCAGGTAGATAGGCAAAGTCGGAACTAGTGTTCCTCAGACCAGCAGGTGAGGACAGTGAGAACACTGTGACATATTCACAAAGAACTAGAAAAGGGGTGATGAAAGGTTCCCAACACAAAGGCATAGGAATGTCTGAGGAGATGCAAATGCTAATTATTCTGATTGTACATATACATTGAATTATCACACTCAACCATATAAATATGTACCATAATACTTTTAACAAAGAGCAAAAAACAAAAACAAAAAAGAAAAAATGAAATGAGAAATTAAACAGCAAACTAAGAAGAGCTCTAGGCAAGAAAAATTATCTTCTATTAATTTTTTGTTTTTGAATTCTCCTTCCTTTGTTATTATTTCCTGTAGCAACTTATTTCAGTGGTTGGAACCACTCAACATAACTTCTGTTTTTCTCATTTTCCTTGACCTTTTCATATCTTTCTCACTCTTTGATATGTTCTTGGAAAATTACTTGCTCTTCTCTACTGTTTGCTAATTCTCTAATTTCACTGTACAGTTCTGGTCCTGGGATTTTTTTCTATGAAATTTTAGCCTTTATTTCAATTCGTACACCCTTTTTTTAACGCTAATATAAGTGTCTTTAAATAAAGAGTAAAAATTTATACAAATTCTTCCTCCCTTATGCAATAGACAGAATATTTTTTCCTGGCAATAAGTGAAATATCAAAGTGTTAATATTTTAATACTCTTTAGATCTGAATACATTGTTAGTCACAGGTTTGTTTTGCATTTATGAATTTTAAAATATTTTGTGCTATTTCAAAGATATACTTGTTCTTTATTTAAGAGGTAGGAGCTTAAGGTTAATGTAAAAAATAGCAGATCTCACCAAAAACACTTGGAGGCTTAACCCTTTAAAAAAAATTTCATTATGAGTATCACCAATAATCTGGGATAAAACAACTGAAATTTTTTTTCCTAGTCAATTTACATGAATTGATTCCAAATGATTATCGGATCATTTGATTCAAGAGAAAATTCCTCCCTTAGCAATCCTGCTTAATTTATTTGATTTTTTTCCACCATCAACACAGACTTTCAGGCTTCAGTCTAGCAAGATAATGTATGTGAGTTGTCAATTCTCATGCCTTTTCATTTCATTTTTTTAAAGTATCACCTGGAAACTTTTCTGGATTTGAATTAGGCTCGCTTTCTCTTAACCCATTTGATTTTCATATTTCACAAACTTTTTCTTAGTAATTTAAATATACTTCACTGGGTGCAGAGGTACACATTTATAATGCCAATAGCTTGGGGGCTGAGGCAGGAGGATCAGAAGTTTGAAGCCAGCCTCAGCAACTACCGAGGCCCTAGTCAATTTATCAGGACCCTGGCTCAAAACAAAAAAGAAAAAAAAAACCTGCTGCGGATGTGGTCAGGAGTGGAGTGCCTCTGCATTCACCTGGGTTACCCCACTCTCCCAAAATTTTATACACACACACCCATATTATGTAATTATATATGTACTTATATGTGTGTGTATACGATTCATGTAAATTAGTTTAGAGCGTGTCTAATTGGTTGTTTTCTTGATGAGGGAAAGGGTCTCACTGTCATTCCCGACCTTTCCTTTTGTCAGGGATCCTCAGGTGAATGGCCATCCCTTTCCTTCTCTTTTCTCAGTGGGGCCTGGGGATGGAGCCCAGGGCTTTGCACAGGCCAGGCATCTGCTCTGCCCCTGAGCTACCCCTGTGGCCCTGTGCGCTGACATGCCTATTGGCTGCCATGGTGAAGACTTTTCTCTCTTCTCCCAGGACTCACTCTTCCTATCGAGCAAACTCCAAATTCTGAGTCCCTGTCCCCAGTTTCTCGCAATATTGATGGGCTTCCTGGTGCCACAGACTTTCTAGTCCTCATGAAAGAAGGCCCTGCGTGGGGGTTGCCAGTGGTAAAGTGTGATCAGGGGGAGCCTGGCTCTTCTCACAGGTTTCCATACACCTCTGGCCTTGTGTCTGAAGCCCAGAGCAGGGTGTTTACACCTCAAAGGGGAGAAATCAGACTCCTAGGGGTAGTTATTCATAATCCAAAAGGTAGAGGCCTATGGTTAACTAGATTTCCTGAGGAAAGGCTGCAGAAGGGGAGGGGAGCTAACCCTTTTGCCAGGCACCAGTTTTTCTTACAATTTCATTTTACAACCAGGTCTGCTTTTGCCATCACACTACCCCTCTCAGACCACGTTCGTCGTCCTACACGGTCACAATTTCCTCTACAGGCT